ATATATATATATATATATGCATATATATATATACATACAAGGATTAAAAGTAGGGGCTGTATCCACATACCGCGTCCATCTCCAGCATTTTCTTCTTGTCCATGATTTTGAGGGCGAAGTAATGTTCAGTCTTTTTGTGCTGAACCAGCCGTACCTGTGCAAACCCACCCCTTTGAGAAGTAGCAAAGTGTGTTGAAAGAATACTATAACCCACCCCTTTGAGAAGTAACAAAGTGTGTTTAAAGAATACAATAACCCATCCCTTTGAGAAGTAACAAAGTGTGTTAAAAAATACAATAACCCACCCCTTGGACAAACAACAAAGTGTGTTAAAAGAATACTATAAGCCACCCCTTTGAGAAGTAACAGTGTGTTTATAGAATACAATAACCCACCCCTTTGAGAAGTAACAAAGTGTGCTAAAAGAATACTATAACGCACCCCTTTGAGAAGTAACAAAGTGTGTTGAAAGAATACAATAACCCACCCCTTGGACAAATAACAAAGTGTGTTAAAAGAATACAATAACCCACCCCTTGGACAAATAACACAGTGTGTTAAAAGAATACTATACCAAGATCCAGTGATTTTGTGTAAATGCATAACACACCTCTATACAACTATTCCTTTCCCTCGATTGACAATGATGTGTGTCTCTAACGACAGTGTGTGTATATGGGCAACCACTACATGGGAGATACCGCCACAGTGTATGCGAATGGCACCGTATCGTCTGTCGTAGTATGTGATGGCACAGGTGTTCTGTATAAGACTGCGCACACAGACATGTTTAGGCATATTGCAGAAAATGAATATATTTATGTAGTATGACCTGCATCTGTTGTCAATGTACTGGGAATGGCAGATCTACAATTGGGAACATCGTAGCCGACCACTGCATGACAAACATACACCCATCCACCCACCACCCACCCACTGCACACCCACCACACACACACACACACATACATACATACATACATATAGCATATATTACACATACATTAAAACATACTTTCCAATTAAGGCCTTAATGTCGAAGTCGGAGAGTTTCGTATTATTCGGAAGCGAGGTACCCTCTGTGGGCATACACGCACTCTTACACAGTGTGGCCAGCCATGGCATGATATGACTCACATGCAACGCAGTAGAGAAGGTCGACTCTCCCGGCAACACTTTAACGAACTTCCTGCTAGAGTGAACCTGTGGATATATGGATACGTTTGCGATGAAGGGGTTAGCGTTGTAGGGTGTATGTGTTGATGTGTATGCGCATGTTTGATGAAACGTACAAGGTTGGGTACATGAAGGTGTTCGAAGTACAGACACAGACACAGACACAGACACAGACACAGATACACACACATATATATATATATATATATACAATTTCCAATAAGTATACATATACACGTGCACATGCACATGCGCGCACACACACACACACATATATATATATACATATATACAACAGTTCTAAACACCCATGTAGATATATACATGGCAAGTAACCCCCACCTTTTTGCAGCGTTTGAAGACCTCCACCACTCCATTGACATCGATGTACTCGTCCTCTGATCCCAGTAGTATGCAGTAAGGTTTGTCAAAGGCCTCTATGTCCTTCTCAATGTCACATGATATGAGTTTCAGATACACATTCGTCAGCCCTCGCCCTTTGGGAAAGAGCGGTTCGAATCTGAAGTGGTGGCAGTGAGTGAGTGAGTGGGTGAATGAGTGATTGAGTGAGTATATATATATTTATATATATAGATATAAATATGGTTGAGTGTGTGACACATTCAACTACACTTGGTGTAGAGGAACGTGACTACAGACGTTTAATAAGGAATCTTGAATGGCAATGGGTCTTAACGTCGTATTGAGGTATCGAAGTACATACGTAGTGTACACAGTGGATTGGCACATAAACATACATGCACACAATAACACAACAACAGGCCCTGTTCATTACTGCCCTGTCCTGTTCTGAGTCAGATAGGTGTCGAGGGCCGATCAGATTCAATCCGCACACTCCACCCCTCCCCCACACTAGCGCGACTGTCACAAGCAACTCACCAACAGCAACAGATACGCTGCCGTGCGCAGTAGTGCTGAGCATAGTACACGCACACACACGCATGCATGCAACAAGACATACTTATCCATGAAGTCCGCCACATCCTTGGACCACTCCAGCGTGAGGGGGTTGTGGTTGAACAGTCCTTTGAGTATCTGCGAGCCCATCTTGTTGATCTTGATGAGAGGTGAGGCCATTTGCCCTGGTTTCATCTTGCCAAACCCGGCCGATACAAACAGGTAGCCGTCGACCTCTTCTCGCTTGCTCCAGCTGTGGGTGGGTTGTTGTAGTGGGAGAGTGGGTAGGGTGTGAGAGTGTTCATAGACTCATGGGCGTACATGTACCACAACGTTGGCGAGGGACGCACGGTGCCACAATGGGTGTCTGGATAGGGAGATAGAGTTGCAATACGTAATACATGTGTGATTATATATGCAATACGTGAATACATGTGTGGTTTTATATGCAATACGTAAATACATGTGTGTGGTTTTGTATGCAATAGATAAATACATGTGTGGTTATATATGCAGTACGTAAATACTGTGTTTGCAATATATATATATATATATATGCATTACGAGAGCCGTAGTACCGAACTTTACAGTAGAAACTTGGAGGCAAGTGAGGATTATCAGATTCTGAGAACAATATATATATACAGATACATTATCAAATATATATATATCCGGGCTCAGAAATCCACACTTAAACGTTTACCAATTTCTGATATACCTAGTATTAAAAGAATTGTTGCGTACTAGCCTGGAATTTACGATTTG